AAGCAACATGTTTTTAAGAGAGGTATGGTAGAAGCTGAGGAGGAAAATGTTTTCTGAGTTGATTTTAGATGATGTGGCACTTAAAAAAGGATATAATGCCAGGTCGTTAATCTCACTTAACTTCGATGAATATATTTGCATTTTCCCTCYGCTCCCCAAGACCTTCTTTGCTTTGACCTGTCACAATAATTACCTTATCTCCAGACATACATATCTGCCTTTGTATCCTGTGACCCATGCAAAAAARTTCTGGGTTCTCTGTAACTCTATGGAAGAAGCTACCTTGCACACTGGCCCATGGCTGTGCTTGTGGGCTGTATCTGAAAGATCCAGGGGCATGGTACTTTTAATCTGGAAGGATCATCAAGTCTGAAGGACAATGGGAATATCCAGACTAACATAAGAATAGTTTTGGGCTACTGCCTGCACGTATTTAGCAGCATGGAATAAAGTATATCTTAATGAAGCAACTTCTGGGCTAAATTAGCATTGTGGGAAGAGCTGAAGTTGAAACAGAGAAATCTGGGATGTTGCAGGAGATGAGCTACGAAGGTAGCCTGATGCTGCAGGTCTGTGAGGCAGGGCTGCAATCACAACATGGCTTTCAGGCACTGCGCTTGAGGTGTCCGTGCTCTACCATGAAGAGCTGTCTTGTTTTCCTGTCCTGATATCCGRATGCCTGGTTGTGATTAATGGGGTGGTAGCATTYTGTCTCCCTCTTGCTCTCATGACTRCAGAGGCCGGGACACATTTCAGATACATCTCCAGTTTCAAAATTTCCACTGTTATCAGAACAATTAGATGTGTTGTTGACTTTTTGTGTAGATATTTCAGGTAGTATTTATGCTTAGGATGAAAGATTTGAAATATATAATACACAGGCAAATTTTGTGGGGACTTAGTTGATGTTTCCAGCTTTGTTTTTTCTAGGCTTGAAATTATTGTATTTTCATTGTTTTAAGCAAAAAATTGCCATGCCTATCAGCTTATTTATATGATGGTGACAGCTTAAGTGCATGTGGATCAGTAGCATCACTGCTCCATTGTGATTTGTAGAAGAAAACACAATTCTTACTTTACTGTGAAGTAAATTAAGTTTGGGAGGTACACAGGAGTGAGTTTTTTCTTGCTGCTATTGAAAAGTATTTATTGTCAAATTAATGATGATTGCATTTGGCTTTGTGACTCTGAGGTATCTCTGTTACCTGSATAACAAAAATGAGACTGGGGGAAAAAAGAAGAGTAAGGCCATAGTTAAGTAATGAGGAAATTGGTATCCAGTAAGATTAAACAGTATGSAAATAATATTTCTTTCTGGGTTTGCTTAATCCTTTTAACATAGTGATAGATTGTAACCAACTTGATTGAATTTCTATGTGTTTATGAATAGAGTGTTACTCTATTATAGTAATAAAAATGTATTCTGYATGAAATTTCATTGATGTTTTAATAAAGATTCACCAATTTTTAAAATCTTATTATAGGGTGATTTCCTTTTTTTCTTTCTCTTCACTGAAACCTGTTTCTAACACAGACAGATGCATATTTCTAGATACTAAAATGACTAAAATACTTGCTGCAGGTAATTTTGGGGAGAAGAAGTTATCTTGTGAGGAATGCCCTTCAAACTAATCTACTCCTTGCATCATTGCCAACAGATGATAAACAGCTGGGAGGAGGTGACTCTCACAACAGAATTGTTCATGCCAGGAACTTCTTATATACAGTAATGTTAGAGACAGCTGATTTTGGGTGCTTTTATATATATGTGTGTGTGTGTGTGTGTGTGTGTGTTTGTGTATACAATTGGACTTTATGTAGCTAATACAGAGTAACTATAATCTGGTTTGTGTTCATCCTGCCTGTGACCCATTTTAGATTGCTAATGCATTCCATGCCATTTATTTCAACTGGCAGTGTGATCATCAAAGTTGTGGCAAACTCAATTATTGAGATAGAAACATACATTTCAGTGTACAGAGGACTTTGTAAAATATAATTTTGTTGGTAATTGAAAACTACCTGATTGTTCCCACCATTAATGTCCTTACTGCATCTGAATTTTCAGAAACAATAGAGTAAAATTTGCTGTTTAATATGAGAAATGAGAGGAAACCCATAGTATTGCCTAAAATCTTTTGCTCACTCACCCAACCCAACAATATGTTTCAGGTGATGACATTAAATAATCTTCAGCTTTATACACTCAGCCAAGTTTATCATGTTTGTAATTCTKCTTTTTATTATTCACACCCTTTACTTAGCTAATTCCCCAAATCCTCTGTATTCATCTCTTGGACTGTGTGAGTTGTAGTCTTTATATTTTGCTTCAGTTAGCAGGCAGTCTGTCTCCCTCCTTACCTGGGGTTTCTGAAGAATTCTGTTCAATAACACACGGCCAATAAAGCAATGATAAGTGTTAGAGAGAGGCAACATCTTTCAGCATGGGAAGCAGAGTCATGAGGCACTGAATTGGTAGGAGATGCCAGGGTAGATCTCTATTAATTTGCATAAAGGCTCAGTATGGTGAGACATTTCCAGTTTCTAACTCATTCTCTTAAACAGGTAGGCTGTTGTGGTTTTTGTTTCATTTCTCCTTTTGCGCAGAAGGTTTAAGGGTAGTTAAACATAATAATTGTTTAAAAGACAAACATTGCTCTTGTCACTTTTGTTAAAGGGTCCGAAATGATATAAAATTGCACTAAAATGCAAATGAGTAATTGAATTAGTCCGAAGCTACACAAGAGTGAAATTTTAAGTTGTTATGGAAAGCACTGTAATTCATGTCCTATGTGTACCATACTGCCACTAAGTTAAACTTGCAGAGAGAACCTTTGCTTTGTTTTACCAAAGGATGGCTTTATTTAGCTTCTTTTRGGAAATTCAAGGGTAGAGATACTGAGCTAGGGTTTGCAACTCTGTGTTCTTTCCCTTAGCTTTAATTGCCACAAATTCCCRGTAATTCTCAAGGTACAAACTCCTGATGCCTGTCATCTAGGAAGGACCATGAATGTACTTCACCATGATGTTTCACAGGATTTATAGATAGTTACTAGCTGTCTGTAGCTTTATTAAAAAATTTTTCAGAGTTGTTATTTGCTCGTGTAGGCAGTAATGCCCAGAAGAGTTAAACTTCTCTCCTCCCTTGATGAACAGTCACCAGTGTGTCCTTCCAGTTCCTGCTGCACAATCCAAGCAGAGCATTGGGGAGAGCTAATATGAAATACAGATTGTGGTATCAGCCTACTGAGACCATGACTTCTCTTGTGGAAAATGAAATTTTGCAGATACCTGGCTTTATTTCCAGCAGCATGGTTTCATGCCCAAAATGATCCTGCTGCTGGGGTGCTCCTTAGCTAGGCAGCTGAACCTGCCATTCATTACAATCAGTTGGAGTCTGTTAGTATGCTCACCTGCCTGCCAACAGCAGCGAGTAATATGTGAAGGTGACTCTTTGGTTTGCCTGTCTAAAACATTGCCAGATTACGCTAAGAATCCAAATAGTTACAATTTTAGTGCCTCTCACACTCACTTTTACTGTAGCAGTAGRTGTCTGTTGAATTCTTAGCGGTACACTCTAATGAAACCAGACTTCTGTGGAATGGTTTCTTTAAGGTTTTGAAGTGTAGTTTCATCTTAAAGAAGTCATGAGCCTGAGCACACTGATGSTGGGAGAGATTGATTGCCTTCCTGTTTTTCTAAGAGTTTGTCTTGTGTATTATTGTCTCAAATTCAAGTCTTTGAAATCCTCTASGTAATTCTTATTACACACACAAAACAAAACCAAAAAACCCCGACCAATTAAATTTAAAAAAAGGACTTTTTCAAGGGAATAATTTTATTCTTAAAAACATGACAGTTTCACTTTGACAAAACMTTGCTAGGAGATTTATTATTAGGAGATTTATCAGTTTTCACTGATGTATTTTGGGACTTTTAGGTGAAATGTACAACACTAAAATTTCAGGCATCCATTATTTCTTCTATATTTAGAAGCAAAGTATCAGCCCATGTTGTTAAGCAGTCTCTACTTATCTCTGTAACCAATCAACAAAATTGAATTTTAAGTATTGTGGTYATTTAAATGAATTACTGCTCAAATGCTGTGAAATATAGTTCCTCAATTAATGTCCTTAAAACTTGGGATTCTCTGGCTTATCTGTAACATTCTTTAGCTTTTTAAGTAAGATAATACAGCAGTTTAAAAGTATTCCAACTATTAAAAACAAAGAACTGGGTGGGATCTAACTTACCATGTGTGAATAGTACTGCAGAAGGACCTTCATGTGTTTTCTGTATCATAACTGGGAAATGTGGATTCCTGGAAAAACTCCCAGAAGGAGATCCAATAGAACTTTTACATTGTTCTGAATTAAATAT